AGTTAAGACAATTAAAAAAGAGCCAAGACACAGACTTCAAGGCAAAAACATGTTTATTTCGCCGAATAAATTTGCTGTTAAAATATTTATTTGCAGCATGATTGGAATAATGTGAGGAGGGTTGCCAGATGGTTGAATTATTTAAAAGAAACGCCGCATTGTTGGCATATGGAGAAAGGCTCAAGAGTAAAAGAAATGGGAGAGATAGAGAGGAGAGGTAGACAGAGAAAGGGAGGGGCAGAGGTGGGAAGGGACCAATTAAAGATGCAGATGGATTGCAGTTGTTTAAATTGCAAGTATGATGATTTTTATGCATCAGTTGCAACGCTGACGAGAAGGACGAGAACGTGAACGAGACGATGTCGAAGGAGCTGCCAGCTGAAGCGGCAAATTCACTCTGAGCGTGTGTGTGTGTGCGTATGTGTGTTGTGCGGGTCTAATAGGTGAAATGTTCATGTGGCATTGGGAATTTCTACCTGTACGTTGTCGACTCTTGGGCTGGCTGGGCTGAGCCGGGCTGGCCCTCGCCTTGGTTATGCACTGGAATTTAATTTCGCTGCCGGCTGCATTGTTACTGTGCCATTGTGCAGTAGGAGTTGAGTCAACCAAAAGAGAAACAGGGAGAGAGAGTGGGTGTGAGGGGGAGAGAGACTCCGGGACTCTGGCAGACTCGGAAGACTTCTCGGTGACGTCCTTGTACTGAATTCAAATGAAGAAACCGCGCAACGAGCCAACCAACCAAGCAGGCAGCCAGCCAGCCAGCCAGCCAGCCAGAGAGCTACAAGCATATAGCATATGCACATGCTACCCTTTCGCAGTACAGTGAACAATGGCCAAGTGAAACTGGGAGAGAGTGCAAAGAAAATGCAGCGGAAATGACAAAGCATGAAATACGGCTGCGACAAATGCAATAAAGTATTTAATAGACTGCTCCTGGCCAGCGAGCAAGCAACACGGGGTGCGAGTGTGCGAGTGCGAATGCGCCTGTCACTGACACCAAAAAACTGGGTAACGGCTGCCCAGGCATTCCCCCCCACACACACACACTCGCTCACACATGGTAAAATCAGGACATGGGCAACAGGAGCTAGGAGCATGCATGCAGCTGGGGGAGGCGTGGCAACCATAGCAAACAGCGTCGGTGGTCATTATTCACGTACCATGTTAAATAAATTTAAATGCCTGTTTTGTAAATATGTAAACGGCATAACAGATGGCAGAGACAGAGAACGAGAGCGGCTGGCGGGGCGTGGGTGGGGCTGGGATTGAGGGAGCCAGAGTGTGAGTCGAGTTTCCCTGGGGTCAGCTCGTGCATCGCATACGCCAGCTCGGTCCAGCTTATATATTATTTTATATTTCCCTGTCTCTCTCTCTCTC